TCTGCATGCCCAGATGGATAATTTCTCCACTACCAACATAACCAGATGGAATAACAACCCACACACAAAATAAAATTATTCTCTCATTTTTGCATGTTTTTTGTTATATGACATATATTTCATTTTGTGTCAAATATATTCTATTCTATTCCACCACTATCTCAACCCACATCTGAGGGAATGTACCCCCAGATGATATGAGACCCCCAACACACACATTCACAAAGATGAAATGACCCCAACCCTAACACCCTGCTTTATATTTTAAAAAGAAATCATCCTTTATAATTATCATTATTAATCATTAGTTCATACCATAAAATGAAATCCTGCATGCCCCTCTCCTCTCCTCTCCTCTAAACCACCTTTTTTCCCCCTCCCTCCCCTAGATAATTCAGTTACTCAAAAAGGAATTCCACTTCATGCCAGTATTAAACAGTATTCAACCACTGCAGTCATTAATATTCCCCATTCCCATCATTGTCAGAGAAATTAGCCTCTCTGCAACCATGATGTGGGAAAACCACTCATTTGCGTGGAATGATAGACGTCTAAACAACACTGTGTGATCTTTGACAAGCAGCTGTGGTTAAGGTTGTGACAAAGCCAGTATAGAAGGTGATGAGGGAGATCGTCTCCCCATTGTTAATAACACTGGGTAATTTTTAAGACTATAGTGTAGGGTCGCAGTATGCAAATCAGGCAGTACAGCCGCCCTCCAGCAACCTTACACCTGAACAGTTGTACAACAGTATTCAATGTTGGGCCACTACATTCATAGGGTAGGGGTGGTGGGATGAAAAGCAAGGGAGTGAAACAGTGATAAGTATTATTTGATTTCTACATTTTGTTTTTACTTGTCATTGTTTTTGAAAATAGTAACAATGCAAAGCCAGAAATGGTGAATTAGTCCACTCTGAAATGGCAATAAACTACACCTCTGCATTTGTGATCTCTCCCTTGTTAATAAATGCTGGGATCCAAGATGAGTATAAGTTGTTACCAGGCATGAAGAATGCTAGCGACCCATCTGCAGAAACCGATTTAATTTGCGAATTAATTGAGGAAAAGCGGTCTCGATTCTTGATGAAATAATAGTCGGCAGCCATAGAGCGGTGATTTCATTACCTTTTTTCTTTCTTGTAGCCATACATTTTCCGTCTCCAATTTATCGGCCACAAGTTTCATTATCTGAAAGGACAAAGGAAATAAGAAATCAACTTGAGGAATCTTAATTGTGCATAAGAAGGAGGTTTGAAAATGAATGGTGGATTCAACTGTGCCCCCCCCCCAAATGAATCAGAGTTATTTTGTATAATCAATCCTGCATGTGTTAAATATCGTCAAGTCTAAACATCGAGAGTCACCAGTGTGACGAAACCTATATCAATTAGATATCGGTGAGATGAGCGTACAAACATATGTCACATATCATTGTATTCATTTCGTTAGTGTACGATACATATGGATGGTATGACACCGTTTAAATTGGAAATGCCCGTTTGTTTGTCACATTGTCAACTCAATCAAAATTCAATCAATCAGGAGAATCAGGTTCACCATTAACATTAACCAAATCAAAAAGAAATCGTACAAATGGTTGAATTTCTTCTAAATGCATTTACGCTATGTGCATATATAAATGTAGTTCAAAAATATGGTGAATTTTTTTTTTTAAAGTCAGAACTTATTATATATCAACAACAAATGGAAAAAGTTATTCAAACGCATGACTGGATAAATGCTGAAAATCCATATTAAGACGCGGGTCAATTATTTAATACGAACATATGCAGTAATGATAAATTCCTATACTGCGATATCTTGCCAATTACAGAAGTATATGATCACTGACTTTGCTGAGATACATGGAGTTAACCCTTTGAAAGTCAAAAATCAAACTTTTGTCACCATTCAGAAAATATACCTGCACAATAGTTTCAAAGATTTTGATCAAGGCCTGTTGGCAACTTATAATTATGTCCAGTTAGTCAAAAATTAACAAAAAAATTACAGAAAATTCATAAAAATGGACTGGAAATTTGATTCAAAGGGTCAATTTGAGTTTAAAGAATAGCAACTATTTGAGGAAAACATATTAGTTATTATTCCCATTATCCAAATTAATGGATATTCAATTTGCATGTACTGCTATGGAGAATTTGCAAAATCTGTTTCCATAGCAACAAGGAATGAGCTTCTTCACTTTTTAATACCTGTTTGACGAAACCCATCTGTCTTCAAACAATATTTGACTTTATTAATTTTTCACTGGCCATTGCATCATGAGAAA